TTTAGGGTCCCTGAACCCTAAACCCTCAACCCCAAACCCTCTGGGAAAACCTCTAAACCCTAAACCCTGAACCCCAAACCCTCTGGGAAACCCTGTAGCCTAGGACGCGGATGCCGCGAACCCTGGAGGAGGTCCTCAACTCCAGGAGCCATCGCTAGGCAAACTTGGGATATTAGGGTTTAGGGTTTAGGGGTTTAGGGTTTAGGGTTGGGTTTAGGGTTTAGGGTTTAGGGTTTAGTAACTAGGGGCATAAACAAGGTAATTATACCTATAGTTACTTGTAAGAGCTCCCATTAGGGTACTGATAGCTGTACTTACTAAGTCCCATAATCCTCCTAGTAGGGCTCCGGTTAGAGCTGTGAGGCTTTAGGTTTATAGCGGTTTATAGAGGTATACAGGGGTCTAGGGTTCAGGGTGGGCAGGGTTAATGAATGTTAGGGCTTCTTGACAAGAACTTGTAGAACCCATATACAACCCCGATGGGGTACATTTACTGGTAAGTGCCTGGGATTAGGGAAGCTTGGGGTTACGGTAAGGATTAGCGGTCAGAACTGTTGAACCCTAAACCCTATGCCCTAAAGCCTAAGCCCTAAACCCTAAACCCTAAAGCCTTGAAGCAGGCCCAGACACGTTCTTGCAGGGTTCTCCTGTATACATCCCTACAGGTCGGTCTGAACACTTGGTAAGATTTTAGGGTTTAGGGTTTAGGGGTTTAGGGTTTAGGGTTCACCCTGTTCGTGCCTATAGAATCATGCTATCATATATCCCCTGAACCCTAAACCCTAAACCCTAAACCCTCTTGTAAGTACATAGCCAAACACTATGTCGCCTGCTTCTTCAGGTCATCCTTCCCTGCAAGCTAACACAGAACCCCGTTTAGGGTTTAGGGTTTAGGGTTAACCCCTAACCCCGTAAACCCTAATCCCCTAAAACCCCAAACCCCTAAACCCTAACATCGCCGTTACCGATGCCGGTCACGCCGATGCCTGATGCCTAGGTTTAGGGCACACTGCAAAGCCTAATCCCTAGGTTCAGGGCATCCTGAAACCTCCAGCCCTAGGCACGAAGCGCCTGGCCGAAAGCACTCCCCCCCCGAAACAATCTACATAGACATAATATGACCAATATATGATAATGATAACAATAATACTAATAATAACATGAGTAATTACAAGTGTAATTGCAATAATGTTAGTACTAATAACAAGTTATGGACCATAGCCACAATAGTTTTCACAGCCATAACTTCAGTAGTACTTATTTCACAAAATAACAATGGTAACAACAAACTTCCCGCAGCTCTTTGGTGCGAGGAAGATCGCCCCGGCGACGAACCTTTTAGAATGTGCCAGGCGAGCAGGGCAAAGAGAGATATCGCACAGGTTCTTCACGGTTTAGGGTTCAGGGTCTCGACGGATTCTTGCTTTGAGGCTGTAGTGAGCTCGCAGAATTACCTACCATGGCAGATGTAGAATGTAGTTTACGCGTGACGGAGTTGCAGAGAGCTGAAGTGCTATGAGCCCAACATTCACGCGCAAATCAAAAGGCGAAGACATTACAGTTCATGACCCGAAACCCTAAACCCTAAACAACTCTGAACCCTAGGCCTTAATATCTACCGAAAGGATGCAGCTGTGGACCTAGGAAACCTGAAACAAAGTATCGCGCGCAAGGCGAGCCGATGGCGGCGCTGCCATCATCGTCGCCAACAGCACCTGGGTGTCATTTCTAGTTTTCCATCGATGGCATACCGATCCCCTAAACCCTAAACCGATGAAGTGTCGCCGCTTTCCGGTTACTGCGCTTCCCTTATGAGTCCCTTAACCCTCAACGCCTACTTGCATGAGTCTCCGGATGGGGTCAGGGTTCAGGGTTTAGGGTTTCTGGGTGACCGGGTTCTTGTTTAGGAACTTGATTAAAGTTACCATAATCGGGACCCATAGTAAATAGTATCATTTGTTTATCACGTCAATTTCAGTTAAAGTCCCTTATAAGCAAGAACCCAGCTCAGGGTTTAGCAGCATTCAGAATGTATAAGATGGCTCCTTAGCCCTACCCTAAGGCTCCATGTACCCTTATAGTACATACTTAGGCCTTAAAGTACCTATATAGGGACCCCTTTAAGGCCTAAGTATCTACTATAAAGGTACATGGAGCCTTTGGGCTATGCCTTCGTTGTGAGCCTTTGGCCGGAAACCCTAAAACTCAAAGCCCTACTGGGCAAAGGCTCTGCAACAAAACGCGAAACCCTCAGAACACAGGACCCCTTACTACCCTCTATCGCAGCCTAGAATACCAGGAAAACTTAACCCTAAACTAAACCCCAAATCCTACACCCGAAACCCTGAAACCTAAACCCCAAACCCTAAACCCCAAACCTCAAACCCCAAATCCTACACCCTAAACTAAACCCTCAACCCTAAACCCCAAACCCTAAACCCCAAACCCTAAACCCAAACCCTAAGCCCTAAACCCAAACCGAGGTGCCTTCATGGACGAACACTTGGGTCACGACGCAGTAAGCAGCCCGGTCCCTGAGCGTCAAACTGCCTTGGGATTCGAGTTTAGGGTTTAGGGTTTAGGGTTTAGTAGTTAGCGTTGAGTGTTTAGGGTTTATGAATTGGGGTTTAGGGTTAGGGTTTAGGGCTTTGGGTTTAGGGTTTAGTAAGTAGCGTTGAGGGTTTTGGGTTTAGGTAAACCCTACATGAACCCGGGCCTAACCTTCCTAAAGCCTGAATCTGCAGGGTAGGCGTATAATCTAGAAGTGTGAGTGACCAGTAACAATATGATTCCTTTAGGGCCCCTTGTAGCATTATAGTAAAATGTATAGGATTTAGGGTTTATGGTTTAGGGAGCCCTTGTGCTAAAGACTTGTATAGTCTCTTTTAAGCCATCCCGTTCTATTTTGATGATGAGCATCCCTATACCCTAAACCCGAAACCCTCAAACCCCAACCCTGAAACCCCTAAGCCCTAAACCCCAAACCCACCCCAAACCCTAAGCCCTAAACCCTAAACCCTAAATCCTAAACCCTAAGCCCTAAACCCTAAACCCAAAACCCTAAACCCAAAGACCTAAACCCTAAACCCTAAACAACCCTAAGCCTCTAGGGTCCCCTAAGTGAGGATGGCGTGGTCGGAGAAAGACTTGGCCCGATGGGTGCAACAGGCGGCATCGTGGCACCCTGGCAAGGTATAGTTTAGGGTTTAGGGTTTAGGGTTTAGGGGTTCAGGGTTTAGGGTTTGGGGTTTAGGGTTTAGGGTTTGGGGTATAGGGCTAGGGGCCTTAGTAGTTAGAACAGGGTTTGGGGTTCCTTTCAAGGGTTCTATAAGGGTTTAGGGATTAGGGGCCTTAATCGTTAGAACAGGGATTGTAAGGCCTACCTGTATAGTACATACTTCGGCCTCACCCAAAGGCTCCATAATAGTTCCTCTTTGTGGCTTATATTTAGCATCCGGCAAGGTAATCCCAACAAGGAGCTACTGTAAGGACCTCTTTAAGGCCTAAGGCCTAAGTATTATTGGTACATGGAGCCTGTGGGTTCAGGGTCCCAAAGGGGATTCGGGTCTAGCAGGGTTTTAGGCTTTAGGGTTTAGGGTTTAGGGTTTTATAGTGCTTGGCAGGGCTTCGTAACGGTTTCGAGTTGTCATAACGCAACACAGTGCAATTTAGTGCTAGTTGGCATAAGTTCAGCATGGTACCTTTGTTTGTTTGTACCTAGGGGAGTAGATGATACTTGTTGCTTGGACCCTGAGGGTACGGGTGTGCGGAGACTGGCAAGCCCTTCAACTTTAAGCTAGGTTTTCATCTCTTGGGTACGTCAAACCCAAACATGGACATGTCTCCAAGATCGCCTGGGCCTTAAAAGAAGCGATGCGCAGCTTGTTGTGCAGCAAGACTGAAAAAAAAAACTCTGAACACCAAAACGACAATATAGACGCCTGCATGGTTAAAACTCTGCGTGAGGGTTCCTTATATTCGTTATGTTATGACCTAGCCCAAAACCCTATATTGCTGTGCCCAGGACCACATCGAAACACTCAGTGGGCCGGAACCTAACTCAAACACGGCCGAACCATAAAGATCTAAGCACCTACACTACATAAGCCCTGAATGCTTTTGCATTGAAAACTACGTAGCAACATCCGAAACAGATGCCCTAAGCCCCAGGCCACAAACAAACGCCACATAATCACGCCAAAACATTCCTAAGCCCCAAGCTGTAAACTCTATCAGCCCCAAACTTTCCCTCAGTCATGCCCTAAACCCTAAAAGTTAAAGTCTAAACCCCGAACACTACCAGGACCCCCCAAGTGCCCTTTAACATCGCCCTTATTTTTGGTCCTTGATCGTGGGGGTTTCGGGTATAAACGAGGGTGGTTGGGAGCTCCAGGACCAGACCCTAAACCGTTTAAGCCCTATAATACAGCCTAAACTCTATAAAGCCTAAACCCAATAAACCCTAAAAGCTTTATAAAGCTTTAACCCCATAAACCTCCTATAGGCCCTAAACCCTATAAGCCCTAAACCCTATAAACCCTTAAAAGCACTATGCCCTATAAACCCTATAAGCCCCAGACCCTCCACCCTAAACCAAGGTCCTGGGTGGCGGAGAAGCTTCTGGACCGCTTTTCCCGCCGCCTCAAATCGACGACCGGGTTTTCAGCTGCGAGGTGCAGAGGGCTGTTGCTCATAAACAAGGGTTTAGGGGTTCATGAAAAGGGACAATATGTGTTTATATATATATATATATATATCCTGGGTAGTATTAGGGAGACCTTAAATTTCTTGACCCTACTTATGGCTCTCTAAAAAGGGACCTTATTGAGAGGGTCTATATCCCCAAGGGTCCCCGAATCCTGATTCCGATGTTGCTGAGGGTAGGGTTTCAGGTTTCGGGTTTCAAGGTTAGGTTCAGGGATTGAAGTTTAGAAGGTTTCGAAGTTATTGCTTGGGGGTTGGGGGTTCCGAGACAGTATTAAACCCCTAAACCCTAAACCCTAAACCCTAAAAACCCTAAACCCTAAACCGAGATTCGTGGTTTAGAGCTTCAACAAGAAGGTTCATTCAGGCTTTGAGTCTCTGGGTTTAAGGTCCCGGGCTGCTGAACCCTGAATGTCAAATGGATGCGGTTAGGGTTTAGGGTTTAGGGTTTAGGGTTTAGGGTTTAGGGATACTTGGAGGATCATGGGACTTAGTGAGTAAGGTTATAGCTACCTTAATTGGGGTTATAGTTACTTATAAGTATAGCTCCCTTATTTATAAGCCTAGTTACTAAGTCCCGTGATCCTCCAAGTAGAGCCGAAGCAGTCGTCAAGTTCTAGACACCAAAGACAAAGCAGCGAAACCCTAACAACGAATGGTCCAACTGCTTCGTAGTTTGGGTCTGGTGGACCCTGAGGTAGACTGAGGGTTTGGGTCGTTTGCAAGCGGAACCTGCGACGTTGACTATGGCAGTTTCAAGCATATCTCCACTCTCTAGCTTCAGCCACGACGTGAGCGGCACCGCCCCCCCCCCTTCCCCAACCAAAAAAGATATACTGTACAGTTGCAATCTCTAGAGGCTTGAAAATGCCCCAAACCGTCAAACCTGAGCGTGATAAATCCTGTAATGCTTCGCAGGCCAAAAAGCCCTAAACCCCAAACCCCAAACCCTAAACCGTAAACCGCAAACCCCGAACCCTAAAGCCAAAACTCACCAAAATCCTAGTAACAGAATTCCCAAGTCCCAGTTTGAGCTTCAGGCCAAGCCCACCAGCCGCCTCAGACCCTGATCCAAACCCCGTCCTGAGCCTGACTTGAGGCGATGAGGAGACTTGGTACCCAGTAAAATTTAGGGTTTAGGGGTTTAGGGGTTTAGGGGTTTAAGGTTCAGGGTTTAGGGGTTTAGGGTTTAGGGTAGGAGACTTGGTATCAAGTAGGAAAAGCCCAAGTAGAACATTTCAGAGACTATCTCCACGGTTTAGAGTTTATAGGGGTATCGCTTTACCCAAAGGGTATGTAGCAGAATGTAGGGTTTCTATATTCGGAATTGTTACTATGATTTGGGAGAGTATCCCCCATAACAGTACCTAGGACCCTTTTGGGTTACAGACAGACTTAGGGCACCTACGCATCGACCCTAAACCCCAAACCCTAAAACCTAAACCCCAAGCCCTACCCCTAAACCCTAAACCCTAAACTCTCAACCTTAACCCCTTGACCCCGCTGACCTGAATCCCTAGGCCCTGCAGATCCACGTCCTCAAACCCTAAACTTAAGGGTTTAGGGTTTTGGGTTTAATTAGGATCTAGGGTTTTGGGTTTAATTAGGGTTTAGGGTTTTGGTTTAATTAGGGTTTAGGGTTTAGGGTTAACCTTCAAACCACAAATACGGTGGAGGATATAAATCCGGCATGACCCATAATAAGGAATAGACCATGATTCCCATAGTTTAGGGTCCCTTGAGGTAATGCAGTATCTATATCATCAACAGTATGACCCTCAACCCCAAACCCCAACCCTAAACCCTAAACCCTAAACCCTAGACCCTAGACCCTAAACCCTAAACCCTAAACCCTAAACCCTAAACCCTAAACCCTACCACACAGAGACGCTTTGACTCGGGCAGGCTGCTGCGAGGGCGGCTTTTTCCGAGGCCTGGCCCTTCATCTACTCCTCGCTACTAGGTGAAAGGGTTTTAGGGTTTAGGGTTTAGGGTGGGTTTACAGGGTTCGGGATTTGAAGATGTAGGTCTGTAAGGGTTTTGGAGATTTAGGGTTTAGGAATATCTGGATTCAGATATTCAAGCATCTCTAAATCCCTAAACCCCTATCAACCGTATTAGGGCTTATAAAGTTGCGCTATTCAGGTGTAATATAGGGGCTCTAATACCCAATACTATTTTGGGGGCTCCTTATTATAACTATGGTATATTATACCCCAAACCCCTGTTCTAAGCATAAAGGCCCCTAAACCCCAGACCCTAAACCCATGGTAGTTGGGGAGTCGGGTTCCAGATTTCATTGGAGACTTCAGTTGCCACAAAACCCTATGCAAATCTTCGAACCAAGAGGCTTGCTGCTCAACGTTGGGTTCAGGGTTTAGGGGTTTAGGGTTTCGGGAGGTTTAGGCATGCGGGCGTGCTTCACTTTAACTTCTGGGTTTCTTTTACCAGGTGATTTCCTTGGAGTTTGTCCAGTTGTGCCTCAGTTCGCGGCACGTTAGTCGTTGTTACTCCAGCGGGCACTTGGAGCGCTGGAGTATAGAGCGTACTCTATACTAGGTTTAGGGTTTAGGGTTTAGGGTTTAGGGTTATATACATATAGGTTTTCCTCCTACCAGGTTTAGCCGAATTACCAGTGCGGTAGTTCGCTATGGGGCATGCTCAGCAGTCGTGCTGCTTGGCCCTAGCGGGCTATAGAAGCCCTAAGTTGATGAATATACTTTAGTACACCCCAAAACTCGATTGCAATCCTCTTATATTACCCGAAACCCTAAGCACTAAACCATAAACCCGAAACCCCTAAACGCTAAACCCTAAGCCCAAAACCTTAAACGCTAAACCCTGCTCGTGAGTGAGTGAGCTCGGCAGACCCGTCATGCGGAGACAGGGTTATTGCACTAAAAAACCCTAAACACTTAACCCTATAAACCTTAATCCCTAAACCTCAAACCCTAAATGCTGATGGAAGGTTGCCACAACTGCTCTAGGTACGCTGGCTCCTATTCGAGTCGGTTTCACATACGAGTGGACCGTGATTGGGAGCAACGCTTTTGCTATGTCAATGGCTTTGCAACCCAATGCGAGGGTAAATTGGGTTTGGGGTGCGCAGCCAGCACTCGCCCATTATTTGGGCACTGCAGCGGAAGCGCTTGATGTTTACATCATAACTTCTGGAGCCATCAGAAATGGTGAGCTGTTCATACTGGAGATGTTGAGTAGTGACGCCATGCGCTTAGTGCCTGTGTTGCGAGTACTCCTTTGCGGCGCTTGCCCTTTGCAGGGTAATATCAATGTAGGTGCCCATGGCAACTTGCCAGGCCCGGTGGCTGCTGGTGAAAATTGGGTAAACGCTGGTGCAGCTGCAGCTCGCAACACTCCAAGAGATATGATTCTCAATCCGTGGAGGGCCATATCCACCCCTTTGCTGGGTGTCGTGACGCTTGACAACGTTGCTCTCGGCCTTCCTGGTGCGGCAGTGGGCGATGTACCATTGGCTGGTGTCGGAGCAATCAATGCTCCTGTTGGTGCTGGCATGCCAGCGCCACCACCTGCATACCCTGTGGCCCGACCCTTTACAGCGGGACCCTTCTGAGGATTTGTCAAAGGAGTGCTAAGGACACTCAGCCACACGTCCTAAATGCATATACAGCCTAAAGCATAAACCCTCCCCTGATAGGGGTTTGGGGTTTAGGGTTACTATAGGCCTAAAACCGCAACGGTTTCCAAAAGCCGAAACCGTAAATCCCATACCCTAGAGCCTAAAGCCCTGGGGAAAGCCCCATCTTGATAAAACAACCCTAATCCCTAATCTTTCAGCCCCAAGTCCACCCTAAAGCCTAAAACCCTTTAGGGTTTGGGGTTTAGGGTTTGGGGTTGGGGTTTAGGGTTTAGGGTTTAGGGTTTAGGGGTTTAGGGTTTATTCCAAGACTTCGCAAAGTGATTCGAAGGCCCAACTGCTACCCGGCGACATTGATTGGTTCGGCCTCTATGCGCTCTGGCTAGTTCCAGCCCTAGGCCTTAAACCCGGAACTTCAGAATTAGGGGGTTCGGGGTCAACCGTCATGCCGAATAACCTACCTTGTTACAGGACTTATATCGTGAAGCCATCTTACGGAACTCGAAAATGGTAGGTTTCTTAGGGTCCAGGTAGGGTCCAGGGTTTAGCCGCTTAGGGTTCAGGGTTTAGGGCTTTTCTTTGGTTGCAGTGCAACGGACCTTGGCTAATTCTGGGGACGAAACGGTGGTTTCGGATTGAGCGCTCCGATTGTTGTTGATGGACTACCTTAAACCCCAAAACAGCATACTTTTTTTTGGACGTATATAAGGAAATCATATGCAGGTGCCTTCTTAGGGTCAGGTAGAGGTACAGTTTGATCCTGGCTTCCATCGTTGTCGTTTTGTTGATTTACTCCGGGTTTGAAGACATGTAGAAATACCTATGTATAGGCTCCATTGCAGTTCCTTTTTGTGGTTTATATTTAGGATCCTATAAGGTACTCCCAAGAAGGAACTACAACGGAGCCTATGAGTAGTGTGAAGGGCCCCTGTACCGATCCAAGAGGCTCCATCATACGCTGCCACTATGGAGGTAGGTCCCGAAAACCATAATAACGCAAAGATCTTCGTGTGGGGCCTACAGTAATTCGGTAATGGTAGTTTATTTTGGAGCTTCCGGGTGTGTAATATGAACTTTCGACTTTCGACCCTACACCCTAAACCATAAAATGCCAATATAGGGCCCCCTCCCTTGCTGTCCAGCCGTGCAGTTGCGGGCTGCATCCCCCCAGACCTAGATCCTAAACCCTTAAAGGATCCCCTTAACCAAAGGGTCCAAAGTACCTATATAGCGGAATGTAGGGTTTCTATAATAGGAATGGTTACTATAATCTGGGAAGCTATCCCCCATAACGTTACCTAGGACCCTTTGGGTTAAAGGAGCTCTTGCTCTAAGGGTCTCCAAAGGACCCAATCATTTGGTACTTGGGTTTGGGATAGTAGTTTTGTAGGTTAGTATTCGGTTGAGTAGATGAGTAAACCCTAAACCCTAAACCCTAAACCCTAGTCGGTACTTGGACCCTTAGGGTTACAGTATGGAAGCCCTTGAAGGAACCCTTGAACTCTAAACCCAAAGCCCTAAACCCTAAACCCTAAACCTCGAAACCCTAAGCCCTAAACCCTAAACCCTAATTCTCTAAGCCCTAAACCCTAAAACCCGAAACACTATAAAAACCCTTGAGCGAACCCTTAAACTCTAGGCCCTTAGCCCTAAAGCCTGAACCCTAAAACCTAAACCCGAAACCCTATGGAAACCCTTGAAGGAACCCTTCCCTCAGAAGTAGGGAGACCACATGTACATCCTTTTCCACAGACCCGCTACAAACACGCAGGGAGCGAGGAAGGAACCCTAAACCCTAAAACCTAAATCCTTAAATCCTAAATCCCAAACCCCTGAAACCTAAACCCGAAACCCTATAGGAGCCCTTGAAGGAACCCTCAAAGGAACATATAACAGTTCCCTTAAAGAAACCCGTAAAGGAACCCTTTAAAAGATCCCTTAACGGAACCCTGCAACAGATCCCTTAAGGGAACCCTTACAGGAAACTTCCCGAGGACCCTAAAACCTAAACCCTGAACCCTAAACCCTAAACCCTGCTACAGCATAGAAACCCCTGAAGGAACCCTTAAAGGGAAACTTCCCGAGGACTGCTATCCGGTCTGCTTCATCCGAGCCCTCGAAGCCTGTGGGGTTGCGCCGAAGGGCTCGGCTGGAGATACTTGGCCTCTGCATTAAGGGTTGTTTGAAGGGCTTTTCAGGGCTGTTGCGGGTTTTTGAGGGTTTTGAGGGTTTTGGTGGCTTATGGTTTAGGGATACTTGGCCTCTGCGTTTACCTAGAGAGCCCAATATTCCTTAATTAGGGAATACACCTTTAAATCATCATATAAAGGCCCCCATAATTTAAGGTACATTCCTTACTTGAGGTGTATTGGGTTCTCTGGGTAGTATTTTTGAAGGGTTTTAAGGGTTCAGGGTTTAGGCGTTTAAGGTTCTAAGGCTTTGGGTTTAGGGTTTTGGGTCAAGCGAATCTGCATTAGGGTTTTGGGATCAGGGCTTCTGCATTCGGTTTGGTTAAACCCTAAGCCCTAAACCCTAAACTATATGGGTTGAGGGCTTAAGGTGTAAGGTGCACAGTGAGCCGGCTTATGGTTTTAGGTTCTGGCTTTTCGCGCCCTTAGCCTTTGTCGGGTTCTGTAGAATCGTGTTTTGTGAGGTTTGTCATTGCAGTCATGACCCCAAAATCAGAGTCCTAAACCCAGAAAGCCCTAAACCCCTAGACCCTAGACCCTTAAGGCAGAGGGTCCGAGTACCCAAATAGTAAGGTTCTAGGTCCCAAAATCTATACTCTGAAGGGTTTTTGGACCTTGAAACCCTAAACCCTAAACCCTACACCCTAGACCCTTAAGGCAGCAGTGTTTCGGATACACGGGGGGGATTGGGGTTTGGGGTTTTTGGCTGCGGCTTCGCCTGCGTTAGGTTGGCCACCTTTCTCGGGTTCGGGGGTCGGAGGTTCTTTGTTCAGGTTTGGGGTTTCGGGTTTAGGGTTTAGGGTTTAGGGTTTTACCTATAGGCTATAGGTATACTAATTCCTTTTCGTTTTTTTTTTTTAATTTCGGGTCCTGGGGGTTAATACAAAAAACGAGCTAGCATGGATCCTATGGGTATGTTTAGATTTAGGGATTGTTTTGGGGGGAACAGGGTTTTGGCTTTAGGGGAAAAGGGTTGAGGGCCCAATTTCAAATGTTTGGGGTTTAGGAGTTTAGGGTTTAGGGTATAGGGCCTAAGGATTTCAAGTTGGGCGTTTAGGGTCTACTGCAAGGCTTCGGAGTTTAGGGGAGGCAGGGTTTGGGGCCAGTTTGCGGTTTAGGGCTTAATT